TTCCAAGCCTATATTGGGAAATCCCCCTGAAAGCCCGGAACTCCTTAGAGAAAAAGCAGAGCTATTTGAGGCTTTAAGGGTTTAAGGGTTCAGGGTTTAGGGTTTTGAAAATTGAGAGCTATGTCTACACAACCTTTATCCGAGCAGAGGCGGCGATGATGCAGATGTATGCTGGAATGATGGGGTGACTCCGCTATACGGCTGTGCGCCAAAGCAAAAAGGCCGATAATTGTGTACGACCCAAACCCTGAACTGCTTTAGACCCTAAACCCTGAACCCTAAAGCCCTAAGCCCTAAACCCCTAAACCCTAAACCCCTACAACCCTAAACCTGAAACCCAGAAACCATGCAAAGCCCCAGAGTCTCCAAAGCCCTAACCCCACTGCGGAGAAGCTCACTCTGACCTCATGAAACTAACACGGATTTGGGGCTTAGAACGCTTTAATTGGGGTCTTAGAGGGTTTTGGGGTCTTAGAGGATCTCTTGGGCTTGGAGGGGCGCGGGGGTTATGGCTTTATGGGCCTTGAGGGAGTTTAGAGTTTAGGACTTGAGGGGTTTGTGGCTGAGGAAAACCCGAAACCCTAAACGCTCAACCCCTAAACCCTAAATCCGTTCCTAAACCCTAAACCCTAATAGGGCTCCCCGCCCTTTTGGAGGTTGAGATTGTTTTGCGCTTGGGAGTTAGACTCTGTAGGTCCGGAGTCTCTGGGTTTGACGGCGTGAGATTTGGGACTTCCCGAAAATAAGGTACCTAAGGATCCTACTATTTAGGGTACTATATTAGGGTCCCCTATTTTCGGAAACCCACATTTGGATGTAGGGCTGCGTCTTGTAGCACTGACCCCCGTAAAGCCTTTCAGCCAAGATGTGAGAGAGCTGCTAGATGCGGGCTCTTGGAGCAAGCAAGCGTCTTTAACACAAGGATCCTGTATGAAAACCTGAGGGCTATAAGGGCACTTCCAAAAAGAGGGGGTTCAAAAACTCGTAGTTCTGAGATCCCACTGACTATGTGCTTTCTGTGGGCACAGGTTTTGGGCTCTCAACCTGAAAGCGGTTCGAAGTCAGTCGAAACACTGGCCTCAGGCGAACCCAGAGAGCCCAATACCTCTTAATTAAGGAATATGCCTTAAATGATAAGGGCCCCATTATGATGATTTAAGGGTATATTCCTGAATTAAGGGGGTATTGGGCTCTCTGGGAACATCCGTCCCTGCGATAGCAGATCCCTGTACTCGATGCTTGTCGCTCCTAGAATTTGCTCGTTGTAAGGTCCTCACGCATGTGGGAGTGAAAATAGGGGACCCTGATATAGTACCCTAAATAGTAGGATCCTTATTATAATGACCCCCAAAAAAGGTACCCCTAATTTCGGAAACCCCCATGTAAGAGCTTTGCTTCACAAGCCCTTAGTGTTGTGGCTCTTGGATCTTGTTCAGCGGCCTTTAATAGAAGCGTGATCAGGTCTATGATCTATGTACTACGTTAATAGGTACCATTGAGACATATCTGCCTGTCTGTACTTATAGACGTATTTATTGGATGACTGTGCCTACAAGTATGTGGACGACGAACTACTCATTGCTGACTGACAACCACTCACAACTGAGCTGCTATCCTTACGGCTCCTTCTTATCCTTCGGGCTCCTTACTATCCTTAGGGCTCCTGGCTATCCTCAGGGCTCCTTGCTAAAGTTGTAGCTTAATATATACCCAAAGCCTGTTCTACTTCGTCTGGCCCTCCACGCCAGTACTAATGATTCATTATACATGGTGTCATACATGTGGCTGATTGTTATATGTACTACATATTATACAGTGTATACTACACATCATGCAGCACAGATCATAACCCTAAACCCTAACCCTAAAACCCTAAACCGTATAGACTGTATACTTGCAAGAGCATCGCAGCCTTCGAAGCGATGGAGAAAGCCTTGCCCTGGAGTGTGGAGGTGGGGTCTGGCAAAGCCAGTAGAGTATAGGGTTTCGGGGTCTATTATAGTATATTACTACAAATAATAATAATAATACTAATAACAATAATAATAATAATATTGGAGTCTGCTAAAGCGTATGAGAATACGAAAGAGTGTAGTGGTAAATGTGCATTGAGGTTTTGTAGTGTTTTATTCGGGTTTTGAGTGGCTTGGCTTTTCCGGTGGTTTGAGAGTTAGGGTTTTTGTGAAATAGATAGCGCAGCTTAGAGGATCAGACTCTAGGTTCGGGAGTTTCGGGGTGTAGGGTCCAATTACGAGCTTTAGGGTGTCTCCTGCTTTGGGATTTTTCGGATCCAGGGATTTTCGGATCCAGCCTCTAAAAGCTCAAAGAGCCTCGCCCAACTCTTCCGGCCACGGGCCGGAAGAGTAGGCAACGGCGCTTTAAAAAAGGCTTCAACCCTGACCCCTAAACCCCTGAACCCCAAGCCCCAAAACCCTAAACCCTAAATCCTAAACCAGTAGGCAAGGCGCTTTAAAAAAGAGCGCCTAGGCCTAGGCCTCTCAGCGCCCGACGATTGCAGGTTTCCCAGGCTTAGGAGGCCTCCAAGCTTAGGGTACTGAGGCGCCCCACGCCTTTGGTCTTCGGTTTAGGGTTTAGGGTGCAGGGTTTTAGGGATTGGGGTTTCAGGGATTTTAAGGATTAGGATTTCAAGGGTCTAGGGGCTTAGGAGTTTAGGGGCTTCGGGTTTCAGGGTTCGGGGTGATGGGGGTTTAGGAGCTTAGGGGCTTAGGGTTTTTGGGTGCAGAATAGGCAGATCACGACCGATCGTTGAAAATGCCGGCGTTGAGGGTTGCCCTCCTTCTTTTCCTATAGAATAGCTCCAAGGCATAACACTATAGGGGCCTTGATAATTGCCTATACTATTTTTGGGGGTTCCTCACTATAATTATAGCATAATGGGCCCCAAAACCCAATGCTAATAATTAAGGCCCCTGCAGCATACAAGCTTCACTTTGAAAGCCGAGCTGCGCCTTGACAAGGCCAACGCGTTGCCTGATGATGACTGAGAGGGCCAAGTTTCACGGGCCTGGATGTGGAACAGGGGCACAAATTACTACCAGTCATCGGCATCAATCATAGCAGTATTTTCAGCAAGGGCAACAACATCGTAATGGTGGTGAGACCTAAACCCTAAACCCCTAAACCCTAGACCGAAACCCTAAACCCTAAACCCCTAAACCCTAAACCCGTCTTTCATAGCCACGTCCACGCACCGGAGAGTTGGCTTGCCATTTCGTGCCCGTGACTCTTCATGTGGCAGCCTCCTCTCTCTGCCGCTCATGGTGTACTTGTATCCGAAAAAGATCTACCTTTCCAGGGTTCCTTAATTATGGAACCGATAGATATATATATATATTTTTTTATTTATTTATTTATACACATATCATGTATACAACCGGTTCCTTCAATAGGTAGGTCTTTTGGGCCACAGGTACACCTTAGATTGTTTCCAGGTCCCCCCGACAAAGCCATTTTATACCTTGATTATCTGGGGTTTCTATCAGAGGGTGTCATATTGTCCAAGAAAGTCGTCATTACTAAGGGGGTGACTGGGGAAACTCGCTTCAAGGCCCATTGTAGAACCCTATACTCCCTATCAAAATCCTGTAGCAGCCCCTTAGAGCATGTCTGAAGATGGGAAGCGAGTGCAGAAAGTTGCCCAGAGCCTGCACCCAGAGACTCCTATATCCTTTAGTTAAGGAATATATGTTAAATCTTATCAGGGTTCCTATTATAATTTTAAGGTATATTCCTTAATTAAGGGATATTGGAGTCTCTGGGCATGCCTGCTGCTGTGTTCGCATGTCTCCTGTGCCAGGGCCACATGCACCGCAATGCGAGGCATTTTGCTAGGCCAGCCCAACGCCCTGGGTAGAAGCTCCGCAATCGTCCCATCCATGGTGTGCCGACTTTTAGCAATCGTAGCTTGCCGGCAAAAGTGGGGTGAAAAGGCCGCCTCTTTCCCATGTCTGTAAAACCCTAAACCCTCATTGAAGACCTTCAACCTATGTTGAAGTTGTTTCGTCCCTATTCTCTGCTGAGACCTGTCTGCAAGTTGAGATGCCTCAGCAGTGTTTCAAGCTTCATGGTAACTCATAAGCTATTATTCTTAGCTTGTAGTCTTGTAAATAGTCAGCCACACTATTTCTCAGGATTCCTCTTGGTAACTTGCCTACAACATATACCGAAACTCGGAAGGCCCCACAATCAGCAGCTGAGAAGGTACTTCCTTGGGTTGCACACAAGGCGACTCTAATTTCAATCTGTGCGCCCCATATTCAAGATCCCAGCTTTAAGTTCAACCCAAAAAGCCCTAGAGCCTAAACCCTAAACCCGCAGCCTAGAGGAGTCAAGTAGCCTTTGCTCCATTGAAGATGCAGGGCTTTTCGGCAGAGGGAACCTCGTACTTCTAGCCCTTTCACTGCGAGCTTTGCTTGGAATGGCCAAAGACTTTCGCTAGCTAGGCCACTTTGAAGATGATGTGTTCCTCTTATCGGCTGTTGGAGGATTTTGAGGAGCTTGAAGGGCCAGGTTTAGGTCAACATAGGTCTAGCTGGTGTATCTACGACATCGAGATAGCTCTGTGCTTCACATAGCTTCTGTGTGGGCCGTTGGTTATTCCTATGTATTTAACTTGCTCTCGGATGTGCGAGAAAGAAAAGTCAGTAATCATGACCCTGAAGCATAAACCCAACAGCCTTTGCAAAACTGCAGCAACAAGAATAAGCGCATCAATAACCAAAAAGCACTAAAGCGCCCAGTGCCGTGGGCATGGCACATCTATTGATTTAGCACCTTGCGGATACCGTAGGGTTGAATACAATGCTGTCTCTAGCCTGAATCCTTGCTCATTCCTCAACTCTTGCTTCCAGGTCCTCTTGGCCGCAGCACGAGCGCAGACCTGCGAGGACGACCAGACATGCCAACGACCTAGCAGTCTCGGCGAAGAAGGATCGTTCCTTCAGGCGCGGATCAACGACGATTCGCAGATGGACACAGACATGGAAAACAGTGATGGATCGCAGACGAACACATCCATGCAAAACTACGTGGAGCGCGTCCTAGGCAAGGTGACGGCTCTCGGTGGCAGACACCAGAATAACGTGGAGCTTGCTAAGGATGAGGTCCGCAACCTCGCCATTCAACTGGCGGCAGATCCCGACTACACCGTCTTCAATGTGAGCCAGTCCAACATGCACGATGCCTTTGAGAGGATCATCGCAGAGATGGAAGAGATCATCAACGACACCTTGGTGTCCCTGGACAAGGACCACAAAGAGTTCGACATCATGACTGATAATATCCTCAAGTGTGGGCGGAATCTCAATGCCAGCAATGTGAGCGTGACGGAAATGAGCCCTGCTGTGTTGCTGCTCGGCGTCGAGCATGATGTGTGCCGAAACGACTCCGTTCCCTTGCGAGACCTAAACCACACCGCCCAGACGAACTACTACAATTACATGGCCAATCCCAACATGCCCGACTGCGCCCAGAATTTTGAGCCGGGGACATGCCCAGCGCAGCAGGACTTCTCAGTGCCGTTGTACTTCGACAACGCCATTGCTTGCGCCAGCTCTGTTGATTCTTGGGCGGGGGCTTTCCACAAACAGGCCCAAAGCCTCAAGACTGCGCATGAGGCTGCGGAGACGGCTGTTATTGCCAAGTATCAGGCGTGCGACAGGACACAGCTGACGTATGAGTCAGCCTTCTGCACGTACCGCACCGAGCTTGTCGATCAATGCTCTGCGCTGGATAATTGCTATTCCAGTGCTGTGAGTGTGTTTCAGGCGACCAAGGCTCTTATCCTCAAGTCCAACTCAAGCCGCCACGTGGCCTTCATCGCTGCCAGGCAAGTGCAATGCTACATCCGCGTGTTGCAGTCGGACAACCTCACAATGGCCGCAATCGAGGCCTGTGATTACAAGCTGGTCGACACGTCCCCCCTGGCTTTGACAGTGCCCACAATTCCCCCCAAGCCCGCCTGCGACGTCTCCCTGGTGGCTCAGCACCCGTGTGGCACAGCGTGGGTCGCCAAGAACTACCAGGACGTCACCAAGTACTGGGTTGCAGAGCAAATTGCTCACGCGACTTGTGGCGGGCTCAGTGGAGTGTGAGTTCATCTTGGTAGCCGCGTAAGTTAGATTTCAGATTACCGAGACCACCAAGCACCCCAATGGGGCCGAAATGTTTAGAGAACGACCCATGTGTCAACCTGCTGCTAAGCCCTTATAACAGCCCGCAAGAGCCCTCTTTTGTAACCCTGTAAACACCGACCCCTCATCCCCAACCCAGAAAAAGCCTCAAACTCCAAACCTTAACGCCCGAACCCCAAAGCCCACAACCAAATCCAAGCCCGATCCCTAAACCCTAGGCCCTACGCCCTTCACCAGAAGCCCTAAACCCTAAGCAGTTGCAGGTATGCCATGCTTGAGCGAATCTTTGAACCTGGAGGAGGTTGGCGACACCTGGTGGTTGAATGATGGTTTAGGGCGTAGGGCTAAAGTTTAGGGGTTTAGGGTTTAGGGGTATAGGATTTTGGGGTTTTGACTTGTAGCCTGCTTGGGCCGTACGTTCCCCCAGAGTTTCGGGCTTATGGATTTAGGGTTTAGGCATAGTCCTAAAGGCAAACACCCGTAGTTTCTCTTGTCAACTTAACCTCGAAAAGTAAGGGCAACGCGGTCGGCGTTAGGGCAGTCTTGGACACGGTTGCCAGGTCCTGGAGTAGTATACGTTTTTGTTTGCTTTCTCCAGTTTTTTCGAGCAGAATAAGCATGGTTTCTTTCAAAAGTTACTGGCCATCGGGTTTCTAGAAGTATGTTGTTTGCTTTTTCCATGTCTGATTTGGGGAACCTTTCAGACTTTTGTCATTTCAGCAGTGGAACTAAGGTTGTTGCAGCGGCTCGTAGGGGCCTTACAGTTACACTCCAGGAGTGTCTTCCGTGATTTGTTGGGGCCTTGATGTGCTGGCGAAGAAGCCCCGATAAGGTGCAAGCAGCAGTGACAAGAGCGCCTGAGTCTAGCATTTGGCGGAGGAATTCAGCCGCGATTGCGATGCATGCAGTAAAACCCTAAACCCTGAACCCTATCAGTAAGTGCTTCAGAGGCCCTCATAGATCTTCGCCGTATGCAGTATCGTTCGTGCGGTGATTCGCGTTTGGAGCGCTTGCCGCTGTGTGCTCCAACACTTCTTGTGCCTCGTGCCTGAAGCCACACGTAGCTAGGAGACGAAACTATACTGTGGATGATATAAATCCTGCACTACCGTAAGGGCCCTAAATTATGGGAATCATGATATATTCCTAGTTATGGGTAATGCAGGATTTATATCATCAACCGTACTTCCAAGTTTGAGCCTACGGCGACAAATTTTGCAGGGGGCAGTGTATGGTGACATTCCTCAGACGGTCGGGTGTGAAATCATCCCGGCCGTCGGAGTCGTTCCAGCTGGGCCTTCAGCGGCACCGCAGGCTTCCGTGTTCCAGTCTTCGGACGCCTCATGCAGGCTTGGCCACGCAAGGGTCCAGGGTGACCTGTGCAGCCCAATGATGGCTGCATGGCTCATCGAAGTTCTTGTCCTGGACTCTTTCAGCCAGTGTGAGCTATATCAGCCTTTCTGTGGCGACAGGCGGGTGTATGAAAATGCCCACACGGTGAGACTAAAGTGGAGAATTCCGGCAAAGTCTCTTGCAAGGTTCCATGTCACGGCAGCACTTGCGACAATGCGAGGCATTTGTGCCACTCAAGCCCAAGGCCCCGGGGTAGAATTGTTCCAGCCATGTCGTGCCGACTGTTAGCAATCGAAGCTTGACGGCCTGTGGGGTGTTTAGAGGGTTTCTTGAAGGGTTCCATGCGGCTTCATGTGGGCTTCAGGGTTTGGGATCTGCTAACCTGCCTAAGCGTGGTCCAGTAGTAGTAGTAGTAGTAGTAGTCGTCGTCGTCGTCGTCGTAGTAGTAGTAGTAGCAGCAGCAGCAGCATAGAGGTCTGAATAGTTAGTTGTTACCCCCGAGAGTGCCTGACTACGATCCCAAAACCCGGTTCTAAATTACTAAAGCCACTGCAGCATTCTCACGCGCAATGCAGAACGACATGCCCTCGAAGACAAGGGCTCTGTGGATTCAGGGATAGTGTAAACCTCTCGGGATGGGGGGGGTTGGTTAATTCAGGGGTCTATATTCATGCAGTGAAGGCACTTCTATGATGATGATAATGTTGAAGTTAGAGTTGGAATTCTGCGCCTGTCTGGGTATGGTTACTTGTGGGTACGTTGCCTGTTTATTGTGCTTGCCGGCATGCATCCGTTTTGCACTCACCACTACAGACACAAGAGGCTGTACGGTGACTGAGCCACTGCGTCCAGTGACACAAACCCTAGCCTGTGGCTATGACGGAACGAAGCCAATGAGAAGAGGACTCTACGACATTCCTCGAAATTTCGAATCTGAAACCCGAGTTTGACGAAAAAACTGAACGCTCAGCGTAGTGGTCATCGATGAGGGTTTCTGTTCAGGGGTTGACCCGATAGCGCAGTTAAAATGGGGATCTTGTGTTCCAAAACTGCTGTGTCATCTCAGGTTTCTTTCCTGCCTGCTTGTCCCGGAAAAAGAGCGCGAAACATGATAATATGGAGCTCGGACTAATTCGTAATAGCATCCCCTACAGTCCCCGGACAACTATGTAATCTGAGTAGACCAATGAAGCCGTATTCTAACTATTACACCCCTGCAGTACACGCCAAAGTTGCACACGCACCAGAAAGCATTGGCCAGATGTTGTCCCCGGCGCGCTATCAGTTTGGATGTTTCTGGTTTCGAATAATGAAACCGTGTAAACCCGAAGTTAACTGTTCAATCTAGCTCTTGTTTCACTGGTGTCTGTCTTCTACTTAGTAGATGCTGTTTCCCTTGTCTCCCATAGGTGATTGGGCACGACATTTTCGAGGGTCACCAACGCGACATGTTTAAAGTCCTCATGTATTGTCTGAACCCTTGCTCCTTCCTCAACTCTTGTATTCAGGTCCTTTTGTCTGCAGCGCGGGCGCAGACCTGTGAGGATGGCCAGACATGCCAACAGCCTGGCAATCTCGGCGAAGAGGGAACGTTCATGCAGGTGCGCGTGGCCGACGAATCTGCTGACGGATCGGTCGACGGATCGGTCGA